AATAAATTAGGTTTAATTATTAGTCAAAAAAAACCTAGAGCAAACAACCATTATTTTTTCATAAAGTTACTCTAAATGGCTGAAATTTAAAATCTATATTTCACACAATAAATTTTTGGCAAAATTGTTACAGAGATCGCTTCAATTAATTTAATTAATTGAAATAATAGGGCAGTATCTCAATCACTTGCAAATTACATCAAGAAAAGAATAATCTAAATTTGGTTAACTATCTATGATATTAAAATATGTTATATTAGTATATAAATATAGTTGAAGATTTTTTGTTTAGAAGTTAATTTGTCTAAGATAATTAAGTTAAAATAAAGCAGTATCTGCTATAAATAGTTAGCTTAATAGGTTTTGGAGATAATAAGGCATTTATTATATTTTGAATAGCTGACTAATATATTAGTAATTTTTTGAAAAGATTAAATTTAGAATAGTGCTATATTAGATTTTCAATATTTGTATAAAATTATTTGTATTAGTTATCTTAATAGTAATATATTTAAGCTAAAAATAATAGAATAGTGTTGTATATATTTAAAGTTAATATATAAGTATAAATTATATATTTAGTTACTAGTATACTAGTAATACTTTAGTTAGTGTCTGTGCCTAGTTATGCATATTGCTGATCATCATGTAAAATTCTTTAAAGTTCATTAATATAAAGGTTAGTATTTTGTATAAAGTTAAAAGCTAAGTGATTATATAGTAAAATCGCACAAGGAAAACTTTTTGTTAATGCCTAAAGGTGGTTTACTATACAGATTTTTGAGAAAGAAGTGATTTTTGGCAAAACAAATGTTTGTTTTGATTGTGCTATGTTTCACCTAATTCTCAAATCTGATTTGTAGATCATGTATAATTATACATAACTAGGCACAGATTCACTTATTGTATGATCTGTAGCCAGTTATTAGATATTTTGTTTTTTGTTATATATTTTGTAAAGTATATATTGCTAATAGAAAATATATATTGATATAATTAGTAATTTATTCTTTAATATAAATTTTTACTTTGTTTATATATATTTTAGTACAATATAGTTTTTTGTAATATTTGATTAGTATATTCAGAATATTTTATATAGATTAGCTAGGAGTTAGATAAGTTAAAAATATTGATATTAAGTTTATATACAATATAACTAGTTTAAGCAGTTAGTATCTAATAATATACTTTAGATAAAATAAAGTTTAGTAATTGTTAAATATTAAGAAATAAATAAATAGCAATTTGAAGATACTAAAAATAAATTTTTGTAAGTTTTGCTATAAGTGGTTTTTTGAGTTAAATGTGAAAGCTAATATATAATTTTGTATTTGTATATTATAGAGATGTTTAAAACTATATATTTGGTAGTAAAATCTAGTCAAGCTAAAAATAGTTGATGTTAGCTTTGTTTTATATTTTATAATTTGAATATATTAATAATCTTGTAGTTATTGGTTTGAAGAATAAGATATTTAATATATAATAGAAGAAGCAAAGTATAAGTATAATATAGATTACTTGTTTTTTGGTTATTTTTTTCTTTTTAAAATATTAATTAAATTAGTAGTTTTCTTAATTATTTGGTTATAAATTTGTTTAAAATTTCTAAATACTATAATTAGCAGTATATATAGTTAAACATATCTAAATGAATACTGTATAAATGAATATTTTGTATAAATAAATACAAAATCTCAGAACCAAGTTGATTACTAAGGCTAATTGTTTTTTTTTTAATTTTATAACTAGCCTCTTTGGGACTATAGTTTTTATTCAAGTTTATAGGTAAGGGCTCGCTTATGGAACTCTGATATATTTATATGCAAACCCAGCTTGTATTACTAGTACATCTCCGCCACAATTACCTATTGTAATAAGTCCCAAATGCTTTTCTGATACCCTTAGGACTAATTTATCTTCAAGGCATCGTTAGTTAGAGCTTTCCATATCCACAATCTGGCTAACTAAACTTTAGTAACTTATGCTGAGTCTGAAAACAAGTACTTGCGAGCCTAAGCCACTACCGTTATCTACTTCTGCCCTTGCAGAGTTTACCCAAACCTCAACATACACTTTACGGACTCACACTGACTTATCTTCATCAATAGCACCTCAAACTCCCAATCCAGATAGCCTGGAGAGAGACTAGTGGGTGTCCCCTTAGTATTCCGATTGAATCCTTTTTCCTTGTTTATACAGGGCTTATCTATGTATACTCATAGCCTGATTGGTATTAGTGTCTTGCCAAACACCCAGTCCTCATCCAGTTTACTGTCAACATTACGCAGTACTATCAAAGATCTGTGCTACCTCTCTACTCAGGACTTGCCAAGCGGGCTTCCATGTGTCATAAGCCCAAGCTGTGAATTTATATAGTTGCATAACTCATACATTATACAACCTTCCAGAACAAGTTGATATGACCAAGGTTACAGGTGCTACTACCCCTCAGGATGCACACAGTATACCGTAACACATTCTATAAATTCTGAATTTTGTCGCCAGTGGGATTTGAACTCTTGTCCTGCCACTTGGGGGTGTGACAACTTACCAATTTCACTAAGTTGCCACACCCTTACTAAGGCTAATTGTATAAACTGCTTAACTGAATAATGCATAAAAAATCTTCAATTTTATTAGTAAAATATAAACTTTATATGCATCATTGTTATACAAAATTTTATAATTTGATTGGTTAAATTATAAAATATAATAATTTTATTAAGATTTAAATATAATTTAATTTTTTGTAAATGAATATCCTGTCCAAATGAATACAAAATTGGTCCACTGACTATATTTATTTAGACAGGTTTGACTGTATATCAAAAGATCTTCTTAATTAAAATTACAAGAATATTAGAATTTGCAAAACAATAGAAGGTCTAAATTAGTAATATAGTTTGTAGCTAGAATTAATTTAGTAGAATTAATTATAATATATAATATATTGTAAAATAAGAAAGCTTGGTCAATAATTGCTTAAAGTATTTTTCTGCTAAAAGCTAGCCATAGAGTATTATCCCTATAGACCAAGAATAAAGTGTAATATATAATTTGTTTATAAGCTAGGAGTTATACTGTTATTGTATAGTTTTAGAATTTTAAATATATAACAGTAACTAGAGATGCAGTAAATTGCCGTGAGTAAAACTTTATGTTAGGAATGAGTTAATTAGCTATGTTTTAAGATATTTAAGTTGTAGATATCTCTTATTTTAAACTTATTTCATTAGTTTAATGGGTATGTACTGTACGTACTCAAGATAAGTAAGCCACGATCATTTGCTTCAAGCAATACTATTCATTTAAGCACATTGATTTGTACAGTCGGAACTCTATAATTGCATTTATAAATGCATCCACTATTGTAAATTTTCTCTAAATGAACACTCCAATATGTTCTAGTTATAGTAAAACCTCTACATATAAGTGCACCTTCTATAAGTGCACACCCTCTCTAAATGCATACACAAATCCGGACCCAAATATATACAGCAAACTTCTATAAATGCACGCTCTTGGGACCAAATTTTATCACAAACTTAGGCTTACTTGACTTGCATTAGTTTATGGATGTGGGTGAACACAAGAATTTTATAAGTGCACTACCTTGGAAGATAATATATATATTTTGATCTGAATTTGAGTGTGTACTTAGAGAGGGTATGAATTTGTGTGGGTGCACTTATGGAGTTTTTACTGTATTTAAGTGTTGCTAAAAGAAAACCCGAATATTTAAATATGACTTATATTTAAATTTTCGGGTTTTCTTTTAGCGACACTCATTTATTGTCACAGATGATGCTGAAATTAGATGATCTGATTTACGATTTTAAAATTTATTAGGACCTCTTTTGACAGCTTTCTTTGTAGGGTTAAATTAGAATTTGGGTTATATTTGTTAATAAAGACTTATATTTTTAAATTGAGATTCCAAATTTCAGCATCATCTGTAACAATTTATATATTTCTGAAATAAGTTACTCGAAAGGTTATAAAAGTTATAAATATTATTATTTGTGACACTGTTACAACCAGGGGAGAAACTTTATATTAGCTGAGCCAATTTAGCTTAGTTAGGGTCGTAAGCATTAAAATGAGAAACCAATTGTTTGCTATCACACACAAGGCACTAAAAGTACAAATCAACAACTCTTTATTGTGTCCCAAACACTAAAAGTAACAATTATCTCTATCGAACTAACCAATTTAGTAAGTTCCCACTTTCTAAAAACTAACAACCTTCCAAAAGAGACCTTATAACTAGTGTTCTACAAGTCTCTATTTATATACACTATTAGACTCTAAATAAGCTATATACTATTTATATACATGTAGTATAACAATATAAGTCTAATTAAAGTATACTCTACGACTATAAACTTTGCATAGCAACAGTATTAACGTTACATGAGCAAAAGCTTGATTATTAACTTTGTTATGTAACAACGCCTCTTATTTAAGTTCATTTAATTCGCATCAGTTAGTGGTTAGGATAAAGATTATTTGAATTATTTTACCCTTATTCATTTCGTAAACAATGCTTAACTGATAATTCACTTTATATATATGTCCTTTTAACCAACAATTACTGTTGTTTTCATAAATTCTGAGACTCCTAAAAATGGCGTCTCCTGAAACACCTTCGATCTTGTTTTAAAAATCATCTAACTTTTCGGAAATTACTTTGCTGCCGCTGTATCGGGTTCCAAGCCCAACAAAGTAGTTTTTGAAAAGACAGGTGATTCTTAGAACGAAATCAAGAAATGAGAAAATTTTTAGGTGCCCTAGAATTTATGAAAATAGCTGTAATCCACCAACATTATTAATTCGCCAGCTTAGCTCACTGATATTTAATTCAAAGACTTAGACTCATTGATCCGTTAAGCAATTCAAGTTTATAGATCTTATGTAACGCCTAATACTTCTTTTTATCTAGACTTATTTCAATTTATTGGATATATATCAGAGTTTTTAGTTTAAACAAAAATTTAAATTTCACTTCCATTTACGACATGAGTAGAAGTTTTGATTTTAAGTAAGCTATCAAGTTTAAAAATATTTATTATTGCACAAAGTTCTATTTTATTTATTTATTTAATAATTGTAAATTTGTGCTCAAATAAATATTAGCCATATTAGTGGAAATATAAATAAATTACGCACGTACAGCATTTCAGTGTGAAATAAGATTAGCATATTGGCTGATTTTTTTGATTTATGTAGATCAGACCCCAAAAATTGGTTTAATTCTGGTCAAATCTGCAGATCATTTGTTCCTAAATCATGAGTTTTAAAACTTGTGATCTAGGGCCACATGATCTGCAGAATTGACCAGTAATAAACCAATTTTTGGGGTCCGATCTAAAACATTAGCCCATATGGAGACTTACAGGATTAAAACTTGATTTAAATGTAATGAAAATCATAAACGTTTCTGCAGATGCATGTCCCCGTTTTTCGCTAAAAATAGTTAGGTAATATAAAATTTGCAAACAAAGTTTCACAATCTTTACGTGCGTCGTTTTACGTATTGTGTTAACATTTGAATGAGATTCCCGATTATTTTTCTTCTCATGCTTTAAGAACAAATGAAGGTCAATAATAATTTGCTTAATAATAATAAATCAACCAATTTAGACTATTATCACCTTGGATACAATTTTCAACATGGGATAGGAATTGAAAAAGATGAACATAAGGCATTCATTTATTATCAAAAGTCTGCAGAAATGGGGGACGCTAATGGAACATTTCAGGTTGGATATTGTTATCTCAATGGAATAGGAGTTGAAAAGGATGAACATAAGGCCTTCACTTATTATCAAAAATCTGCGGAAATGGGTAATGCGCATGGAACATACAATGTTGGATATTGTTACCGAAACGGAATTGGAGTTGAAAAGGATAAAAACAAGGCTTTCATTTGTTACCAAAAATCTGCAGAGATGGGGAACACTGATGGAACGTTTAGTGTTGGATATTGCTATGATGAAGGAATTGGAGTTGAAAAGGATGAACATAAGGCATTTATTTATTATCAACAATCTGCTGAGATGGGTAATGCAAGTGGAACACTTAATGTCGGGCATTGTTATCTTAATGGAATTGGAGTTGACAAGGATGAACATAAAGCATTCGTTTATTATCTAAAATCTGTGGAGATGGGTAATTCAAGTGGAATATATAATGTTGGATATTGTTATTTTAATGGAATTGGAGTTGAAAAAGATGAACATAAGGCTTTTATTTGTTACCAAAAATCTGCAGAGATGGAGGACACTGATGGACTATTTAATGTTGGATATTGTTATGATGAAGGAATTGGAGTTGAAAAGGATGAACATAAGGCATTCATTTATTATAAAAAATCTGCAGAGATGGGGAGCGCTGATGGAATGTGTGCGGTTGGATTTTGTTATCGAATCGGAATTGGAGTTGAAAAGGATGAACATAAGGCATTCATTTATTATCAAAAATCTGCGGAGATGGGTATTGCAAGTGGAGTATATAATGTTGGATATTGTTATCTTAATGGATTTGGAGTTGAAAAGGATGAACAGAAGGCATTCATTTATTATAAACAATCTGCTGAAATGGGGGACGCTGATGGAATATATAATGTTGGATATTGTTATCATAATGGAATTGGTGTTGAAAAGAATGAACATAAGGCATTTACTTATTATCAAGAATCTGCAGAGATGGGTAATGCAAGTGGTACTTATAATATTGGATATTGTTATGATGAAGGAATTGGAGTTGAAAAAGATAAAGCATTCAGTTATTATCAGAAATCCGCAGAGATGGGTATTGCAAGTGGAGCATATATGGTTGGATTTTATTATCGGCATGGAATTGGAGTTGAAAAGGATGAATATGAAGCATTCATTTATTATCAAAAATCTGCTGAGATGGGTAATGCCAGTGGAATGTCTGAAGTTGGTTATTGTTATCGAAATGGAATTGGAGTACAAAGAAATTTGCAAAAGGCCAACCATTGGTATAAAATGTAAATTAATTATTTTAAATCTACGTAAGTAATTATGTGGTGCATGAAGTTAGTACCTGCTTGTGGCTGCAATTTCAGGCATCTGACTAAAATTACTAACTAATGACTAATTTTAGTTAACTGCAACTTCATGCTGGTGCAAGCTTTAAGCACAACATATATATATTTATTAATTAAAATTTTATGTTTTCTGATAATTATTAGGGAAAAAAATATGATACTGGGTAATAAGTAACTATAATTATTTGATTTACTTTAAGACATTTAAATTTACTAATAATAATTTATAGCCGCAGATGAATGGAAAGATGAGAATACTAATATTGATAATTGCATAAAAAATTTATTGGTGGAAAAAGATTATCCATTGTCATGGATTTCATATAAAGAATTTATAAATATTAAAAAAATAGGACAAGGTGGGTTTGCAACAGTATTTTATGCAGAATGGTTAAACAAAAAGCAAAATACATGGAGAAGTGTTGCACTTAAATTACTCCATGGATCAAAATATTTTAATGAAGCATTTATAAAAGAGGTAATTTATTTTATTATTTCTTTATAACTTATAGACATTTGCATATTAAGAAATTTGTTTTAATATTAAAGTTAAAAGCGTATTGTGATATTAGTTCCAAACACCCATTATTTTTAAAATGCTATGGTATATCAAAAGATGATTCTTCCGGAGATTATATTCTTGTTTTATATTACGCGGAAATGGGATCTTTGCGCCAAAACCTTCACTCTGTATCAAAAACGAAATGGAAAGATAAATTAGTCTTATTACATTGTATTGCTTCAGATCTTCAAATAATTCACTCTCAAAATCTTATTCATCGAGATTTACATAGTGGTAATATTTTACTAGATAAATTGAATATCGCTTATATTGCAGACTTGGGACTTTCAATGTCAACAAATATAGCACTAATTACAGAAAAGTGCGGAGTTTATGGAATTTTGCCATATATAGCACCAGAATCTTTAGACAGGGGACAGTATACGACGGGGTCCGATATTTACTCGTTTGGAATAATTATGTGGGAAATTTTATATGGAAAATTTGTATCTTATAATCAAGTTCTTGGAACACAACTTCAATTAGAAATATGCAATAATGATTTACGACCAACTATTATTAATGACACTCCACAATGTTATATAAACTCAATGAAGAAATGTTGGGATGGAGAACCAATAAACCGCCCATCAGCAATAGAGATTTGTGAAATTTTTACAGAATGGCAGAATGATGAAAATATTTTATCTGAATTAACGAGTTCTGATGAAACATTAGAAAATATTAAAAGCACGCATATAAAGTCTTATCCTGTTGATCTTTATAAAAGCAAATTTATTAAATATACTTCATTACTTTATCAAGGTATCTATCTACTTTTTTTATTTGAATAAAAATTTTCGATTATATTTAATATTAATTGTGATTAACAGACAGCGGACAGAATGAGTTAAATATTACTGAATTATAACCATAATCTAAGGAAGTTATTTTTGATAAATAAACAGCCACATTCATAAATATTAATTTAATAGTGCCTTTGATTCTATTTTACTAGGTAAGAATAAGGACAGGACGCAAACCTGATTGGTTAAATTTGTTGTTTTTTATTATTCATGGCATAAACCTGGGAAACAGTGTTTATTTTTCACGTGTGCAAAAATGTGCGCTCGTGTGCGGATCCAATCATAATTTTAAATAAAGCAATTTGATTGGATCCGCACACGTGCGCACACTTTTGCGCACGTGAAAAATAAACACTGCTGGGAAATGCTGTCATTACTATTAAATCTACCAAATCTGACTATAATATTAATATTTAATTTACAATTTAAAAAACAAAAAGAGAGAAATTGGAAAATACATACCAACCAAATTTTATATTTTAAACAAAACCATAATTATTTTCTTATATATGAGTGTATAAGTATAAAAATTTGCAACCACATTTAATGATTTATTGTAATAAAATTATAGGTTTCTTATTTCATATCTTAATGTGTATTACTTAAAAGCATATCTAGAAAGATATACCTCAAGAAAGAGCATGCCTCAACGGTATATTCAAAAGAGTATATCTCAAAGTTATATTCAAAAAAGTATATATAAAGAATGCTCTTTTAAAAATTTAAATATTGTTTTATTAAAAATATTATTATATAAAAAAATTTAAAAACACATATAGAATAAATAGCTTTAATTCAGAAAACTAATACTGTTTAGTAATACATCTAATTAAAATAATGTATAATCCAACAAGATATATAATGCGATACTTAAATTTGTATAAATATAACTGTTGTAAATAGCTTATTTTTGAATAAATATCATAAATATAATAAATATTGCTTAATAATTTCAATGTTATCAAATAAGGATTTAAATTTAGATTCAAGACCAGTTTATAATTTAATCAAATTTAGCTTAGAAGAATATGAAGATAATGAATTGGTTTTTAATACTATACATGATTTAATGTAATTTTTTAATAATTCAAATTGTAAATATTATCCAAATCTAAATCAAAGATTTAAGAATATGTTATGAAAAGTAGAGTTTAAAAAATTTTTTGAAAAACCTTTGTATATACATGCTTTAGAACAATCTGAGCTTGAATTATTCTTAAAACACAATTGATAGCTTTTGAAATTACAAATATTAAATTAGACAAAACTTAACAAAAACATAATTTGAAATATGCTTTAATTCATTTTTTCCACTTTGTTAGTCTGTATTTGTGGAATAAATGAATATGTTCTTTCAATAGTACAAGATTATTTATATAATGAAGAATAAATAAAATGAATTCATAGTAATATTGAGCATTTAGCTATAAGAGAAAGTAAAGTATTTTTTGATTCAAACATTACTTTTATATTAAAAATTTTTTAGACCAATATGCAAATATTCATAGGCTCTATACTATAGATGCTGGTGAAACTGGTGAAACTCTTGGTGAATAGTAGTGAAACTGGTAAAACTGGTGAAATTTAATATAACAGCCAATCAGATTTTAGATAGTCACCAGTTTCACCAGCTTTATTTAGTTTCACCAGCATCTATACTCTATACTAATATGTCATAAAAATGAATTGAAACCTTTTATTTATTTACCAACAAACAAAATATACTTCTGTTTATAAAAGTTTAAAGAAAATTTTTATA